AGAAGCCTTGGATTACTAACGCAAAACAGTGCAATAGACTGCAGTTCAAGGAATATTACAGAAATCACTCTGGTGAATTCTGAGAGACTGATTTTCTGCGAAGAAATTAAATTTGAGATATTTAGATCAGATTGGCAAGAGTACGCGTGGAGAAAAGTTAAACCAGCTTTAGAAGATACAAATGTTCCGTGCAAGAGTAAAGCACGATGGGAACCCCATGGTGCGGGGTTACACGTCTGCGTCAGATGTCGGGAATCTCCATTTTATTGATTCCACATTCACAAATTTGGATATTTATCAATTTTAAAAAGTAATATCAAACAAAGTGCAGCGAATCTAGAACTGGAGCTGACATATTACATTCAGTTGGACAACGCGTCCATCCACACAGCGCATATTGTGATGTTATAGTTGCTATATAATGTTCGAAAGCGCCTTGAAACGCCTCAACAATCACCCGATCTCAATCTTTGTGAGAACTCGTGTTGAAAAAAAAGCGTGCTCAAAAAATAAATGCTCAAAAGGGTCCTCGCTGAAGATTGGAAAAAATTGCACATGAATTCACAAGGAAGCTTGTAAGATCAGTGCCAGCAATACTGGAGGCAATTCCTGTTAAAGGACGTTCTACAAAAAAATGACTTACTAGTTTTCGTTTTTCGCTAAGGCAGTAGTGCTGTAGCGATCTCGGACCGAAGGATCGCGGGTTCGAGTCCCGCCTCGGGCATGGTTGTATTGTGTTCGTCCTTTCACACACACACACCCATCATTATTATATCGTGTCATCAGTATACCATACCGTTACAAACAATACTGGTTGCTAATAACCTAGTAGTTGATGTGACGTTAAACAAAAAAAAGTTTGCATCAATACCTATATTTGTTTTGTATCTCAAAATACTTCTATAAATTTTTTGTGCCAGTTTGTATTTTCTTACATGGAGTACGGGTCAATTTTGCAAGCCACTGTATTTTCAAAAATGAACTAGAAAGTTGACTGCCTTTTAGTACGAATGTATATCAGTTTCTTTATATGCTTTTAAAATTCTTTTTATTCCCATCAAAAGTCAGATAAAAGTGCAAATGTCGATGTGGTTTAGTCAACGATTGCTGGTCATAATCCATATTCCACTGCTGATTTAAATACCCTCTCTAACCGAAGAACATTGGAGAACAATGCATTTACTTTGCAACTAGCTATAACGTTCGCCAATTTGTAGAAGATTTTAAATAATGTTAAGTGAATCTCTGCTTGACACTACATGCTATATTATTAGCATTTCATTATTCCGGCTTTACTTGTACAGTGGAAACTCATACGTCACTATTTAACCCTTTGATATATTTGGGTAAAATTCAACTCCCCAAAGAAATTCAATAAAACGGGATAATTGACAACTATGAACTCTTCAGCTGTAGTACTTTTTTATCAATGATATATAGATTACAACTTTTGTTGTAAGCCTTTGTTTATTGCCTTACTTGTCTTGTAAGGCAATAACATTTTGTGTTTGCAGTAATAAATTTGGTGACAAAACAAATCAATATTGCGTTAGAAATTCGTAAACGTGTTTCAAAATGGACTGTGCTTCCTCCAGCTGAGCGAGTTTATCTTGGAGACGTCATCACTTGTTCGACTCGAACAATCGATTGGTGTGGGTGAACATATGGCAAAAACTAATTATTTTGAAAGTGGTTTTGTAACATGTTAATTACTTATATTAAATTGTGTTTTGAATTCATTACGTGTTAAGTCATTGATTTTTCACGATATTACTGTACATAAAAAATGGTACGTTACCATTAAAAAAATGTTTGAATCAATGTATCACAGTCGGGCAATAGAAAGGGTTATGTCCACACTCTACATAGACTCTGTGAATCACATCAATTATCTTTAATGGAGAAGCACATTTACATTCTACAGTTACAAATATATTTGCAGGGAACATCGCAGGCCGCTAAGACTAGCCCCCTCGCAGATGTGACCTTACTTCACACGCAAACAAACTAAGTGTCAAACGCATTTCCATGATTAGGAATCAACCACGGTAATGAATACTAATCCGACGCGCTGGTACGACGTAAGTCACATGCCTAAAATGGCGAGAACTATCCCACAACCTGCCTCCGTTAACGAATCAACTCCCGACGCAACGCGAGAATGGAGAACGAAAGTGGAGAACGACACAGGGGAACGAGGGCGTTCATCTTCCCGTAGTTTTAATGCATATAATGAAATCCCATATTTGATTTAGTGGGTTCCGGCGAAGTTTATTTTAGCGAAGAGACACGTTTAAATTTTTTTCACAAAAACAGTTTTGTGCAGAAACAAGAAAAAATGATGGAATAACCATGCAATGAATTTTAGTTTGGATCCAATGAACTTACGGAGAAAAGAACTTATGGGTATTTGAGGTAAAATATTCGTTTTTACAACCAATAGTTCCATGTATGCCTCCTTGCTAACTCATTGTAAATCAGTTTCTTTATTAAATTCCATGAATTCGCTCTGTTCATTATTTTTCCTAACATACTATGCGGCAACATAATATTTTGGCACTAAACACGTTGAAAATAAGTATGCGTTGCGCAGACTCAAGGTTGTTTTGTGTTAACCGCGGAGGTCGAAAGTCATCGTCTCGTCACGAACGTGGACGCTCGTAGCGCATTGTCAGGCGAGCCCTAAGACCTGAGCTTTACATTGAAGCGCGTTTGACGCGCGATAAGTTTCCAAAGTGTCCCACCTCCATTTTCGTTTGTTTTCTAGCTTTACTTATCAATAAACATATTCCAACGGCGTTTGTCCATCACGCTGCCAAATATTGAGTTATAAAATTACGTTTTTACAGGAAATAGGTATCTGAATTAAACGGTATCTAAACCGTTGAATCTTATCGTGAACGCTAAGGCTGAATGTGAATACTTTCCCCTAAAAAATTGTTTTTAATGAAGATACTTTGTTCTGGAAATAAGCTTTTCAACTCAGAGTGAAACAGTTTAATGACTGATGTGTGAAATTATAATAATAGTTACATGGTCCAAAATAAAAGCAGTGAAATTGCAAAGACAATCCTTTTAAAGCAAGGCCTCCAAAATGTGTACATTGCTGTTACAACTAGTATAATCTAATAATCTCTGCCTATTTTCAAAAGTCCGTCTCTCTCAGGGCTTACGTGCCTTCATGCAATCCTCAAGTGTTTATTGGTGCAGAGCTAAGCTATGTGCAACGTTATACTCTTCTTCTTGTAACTTGGGCAGCGCTTTTCATCGAAAGCCTTTGAATCACTCGCTTTCTGGTGCGCTCGCCTTGCGGGAAACTGGACAGGCTGGAGGAGGACAGGAAACGGCTGAGAAAGCGCAGCTGGCGTCGCGGGTGGAGATTTTTTTGATGTGCGCAAGATAGCACGGGATTACTAAGCACCAGAACAAACTTCCGGTCAGTGTCTCTTTGTGATGTGTTTTGCTGGAGAACGGATTGGGAAGAGGGGATACTTCAAGTTACCACCACGAGGCTAACGGGAAGGGAGTATTATTACACATTACATTGCGGCTTTGAAGGTCGTATAAAAAGTATGCTTTAGGTAACATTTTGCAGCAGTGTAGTCTCAAGCAATAAAATGAAAATGGATGTGAAGCTATAGAACAAAATGTTAAATATTATCTCCGAAAAATTAATTTAAATATTTTGTTGCGAAATTGTAAGTATCAACAAAGCGAGATTAGCAGAATTTAAAAACACACATTTTCGCTAGAGAGGGAAAACGTATTTGCATAGATGAACGACCTACATATTTGATTTTGGAGTATTGCCGACAAAACAGAGAATCACACCTCTATCTCTAATCCTACCACAACCAGCAAACGGAAAGGAACACAAAACCTGGACGTTGTGAAGCTTCTCTACGAGTGTTCAAGTTGTATGTCGAGGCTCCGACCTTCAGTTTCCGCGATTAACAAAACCTTCTTCAGTCTATCTAACGCATAGTTTTGAACTCATTTTATGACACAGTAGTACTTTGTTTCCTAACACTTGAATTTTTGTCACGAAGCTACGCGTATTCAAGTCGACTGACGAGTCTTCATGATTGTTATAAAACATCCTTGAACCTGTGCAACGCATAGTTCTCGATGCATTTCCTTCCTTTGAACATTATATAGTTTCTATAGTGTTGCGCCCTATTATGCCCTGTGTTTGCAAAACATAACTGCAGTTCCTCATTCAAAAAGACACTCGTTCTTCACTTTCGTTAGACGATTTCGCGACTTTGGAGTGAACTCAGTACGAAAACATAATACCCCGTTTCTAACGAAAATGGAAGTAAATAGTATTATTTTTTCTTATATCAAACTTGTTGACAATCTTTTAATACGAACGTTTAACACCTTGATTTAACTTCTGATTTCTCAGCGTTAACAGTGATATCGGCGTAATCAGTTCAGTCCATGAATTCAGAGCCTTTATATTATGAAGCGGTTATGTTCACAATTACTTCTCCAAATGCAATTTTTTTATCTGAATTGTTATTAAATACCGATAAAATTATTCGCAATTTGTATTTCTATTAAAAATGTATTCAAGTGAGACTTGATAATTATTAGTAAACGTTTAAAGAATAATACAATTAACATCACCAGCATATATGATCTCTGTGACTTATGAAATAAAACTATTCATACGGTGCAGTTAAATTACAAGAGTAATTTTTTGCGAAATGAAACATATCTACTTCGTCGTATGATCTCAGAGTTGTTCATGTCACCTATAATATTTCATTACAAAGTCTTTCATTAAAACAAAATTTCTGAAGTGACATGCTTCACGTGCAAACCACTATTCGATTAGTTAAAACAATGGTAATTTATGCCAATTTAAAACATATTTATTACAAAATAATGTCTAAGAAATTAAAATTGTGACGCATTAACGGTTAAATGTACGAACCATTTCACAAGGTAGCAACAATAAACGTTTGTGATGGTAATCAGTTATCAATACTTACGTTTATTTTGTTCTTCTAACAGTTGATCTGCGGTCAGATGTTCACCATTATTTATCCATGTATCCACCTTTCCATCACCTACACACAAACATCCACCATACATCACTTTTCAGTCGTACTTTGACGCTCATTTGAATGCACAGGCAGAAACTGAAAATGTCAAACACTCCAACGGAACACTGTGACTGTCCGCTCGCGACACTCAACAGCGACTAAATCGAAATTTCCGCCCGACCTACCTGCTTTAACCTTTGTCCCTTTATCACAGCCACTGCCCTGACCCGAGCGAGTGGAGTTTTGCGTTGACGCGATAGGATATACAGTTGTCAGAAAGTGTTCAATAATCACTTAAGGTATACAATGTATGAATATGTTAAAGCTGGAAGACTGCGCGCGTTGAAAAGAAACTTGCGTGTGCAAACATTTACAGTCGTGCACATTTTGGCACTGCATGCAAAATACTGGCGTTCTTCAGGATTTCTGGCACCAGGAGTTACTCATGTGCTAGTGCAAATAGACACAGCACATGCAAACATGAACTTTCGTATCAACCTGCCAGTACAGCATACGGACACCTGGAAGTATGTATCTTTTGTGAAAAATGGCAAATACTTAAAACATAAATATTTGCTTCATTATATAATAGAGTATATAGAAATACAGCTGGAAATTAAATACACAGCATCTATAAATACCTGTCAAGAATGCTGAAGCCTAAAACAATGACTGGGAGAACATGAATTTTAATATCTTCAATAATTAAATTCTTCTACATGTTACAAAAAATAGTTTCTGAAGCAACTCAAAATTAGCTCTGATATAAAGTAAAAGTTACCCATTAGGACGTAGGATGATAGATTTTCGTCTTTTGGTTAGAAATAAGTGGGAAAAGCGAATCCAAATTATTTCATCTAAGTTTATCTCAGATGTCTACTATTTTTGACCTGATATGTCCAACCTTTTGAATATTGACATTAACTTCATTTTCAAAGCTATTACAATTAGAATTTTCCAAAATAAATATCTGCATATTCAGTCGTCAGTCATACAGTGTTCACCAGACCATCAACACCAACATTACCACTGGGGTGGATAGGTCAATACCAAGTACAAAAAAGAGGGTTTCGCTCAATGAAATACAACCGCTCACGCGGTTCCCGGTCGCCTGAACACGATGGAGCTCCTGACGGAGACCTCACGCATTAGCGTCTTCCGCAGTTCATTACACACGGAAATTGGAAACATTTTCACCTTCCACAAGTAATCCAATTCGCGAGAAGAAAAAACAATCTCTGGAAGCAATATTCTGTATATCACCGGAGGAAACATTTCATACGAGTGTTCTCTTACATGCGGGACGAAAATGACTGTAATTTATGCATTTGGATTTGGAATATCACATTTTCACTCTTCTAAGCTGGATTTTCATCTAAGCCGGTTCACTTAAAAAGGATATCTATTGCATTTCTTACTTATAGACATATTAACCTTACAAAATGAAAAGCACGCGTTGTTAATGTGATAGATATAATATAAGCAATTGAATATTGAAAAAAGGAGAAGGGTTCCATTCTTACAAAACAACACTTGAGAAATAACGGATCAATCGACATAAAGTCCGGGTTCGATTCCCGACTAATCTCGGACAATCTCATCTGAAATGTGTTCCAACAAAACCAGTTTGGCTGCTTCACAAGGGCTTGTCCTACCCCTGTGAAGTGTCCTAAACCCTAACCCAATATTAATCCCTTCCCCATTCTGGCCGCTGGGTAGTGACGCAGGAGCGCGTAGGAGGCGCGTACGCGAAAATAATACTTGGCGGTCCTCTTGACAACTGACCGAAATGCGAAGGATATGAAAATGTAAAAATAATTAACCGAGGATTACTCCCTCGCTGTTGTTAATGGATTACTCCGAGTGCAAAAGCGCTCAACGCCCCTTAAGGGGCTTGGAGACGCGTTGCATCAACTGAAGACGCAATAAATTGAAAAAAAAGATCTTCTATATCAAAATATCCGGCAATGAGCCTCCTCAGTGGCATCAATAGATAACCTTCAAATAAATCAGATCTTCAGGATTATTTCACTTATTTTATAATAAACTTATAAATATTTTTGTACGTTTAAAACCAATATTTTTCCTCTCTCGCAATGTAGATACACTATCTTTGTATCAAATCATGGTTTTCGGAAAATATGTCATAATTGTATTCAGTCTCGTACTGAAGACAAGAAAACAATGTTCACAGAGTTAAAGGTGAAACCAATTTATCGATTATGAATGTGATATATGCGTTATTATTATTATTATTATTATTATTATTATTATTTTTATTTATTTTATTTTATTCCAATCGCCAGGGCAGAATTTGCACAACATATAGTGGATGAGTCCTTTGGAGCATAGGGTTTAAGTGCACAAGATGTCACAAAAATGTTTATACTTCCATTTAACTACACTAACTTCTGACACATTGTCAGCTGAGACACGGATGTCCAATCGGGAGCTACGTTAGAACTTAATTTTTGGTATTGAAGCTTCCGATTGGATAATCGCGTCACATCTGATGATCTACCCGAAGCAACTCTCTTTAAATCGGAATATAGGCATCTGTCTCCGACCACACCATTATGCAGTAGAGATATTATGCAATATGAGATGCTATATAATGCTATAAAGAGACTGCATTACGTGTCGCTTCCGGGATAAATAGACCTTTCAAAAACAAACAAAAGAATAACGGATATATCTAGAACACGATTTTTATATGAAGCCATTCGGCAAAACCCCATACAACTTTTGATCAATTATTTCTACCGCTAAACAATCTACGTATTATATTGGTAAGAGGTCGCATTTAACATTCGTTCGTTCGCAATGAATAGTAGGAGGAATCTGAACCATGGATTTTTAGTCCCAGTGTCTTTGAGCAGCTCACAGCATATCACGTTCTGCTGCTCGCTCTGCACGGCAGCTAACCACATCCATCTTTACTCGCCCCCTCGTTTCCCCAACGCCCGCGCACCCGCATCATTTCTCCGACTTTGTCTTCCACCCGCGCAATTAGCAGCCGCTTCACGGTGTGTACCCTGCGCCGCCCCGCCACCTTCCCCACCCCACAATTACTCGCCGGAGGAGAAGCGGTTGCGCCGTAAACGCTCTTTATTGGCTATTTCAAAACAGGCAATTCCCTCGCGTATATTTAGAAAATGGATTTGATCCATTGAGTGCCTCCGCTTTACCGACCGAAGGAACCGAGGCCAAACCGCGCTCCCCGTTTCTCCCCGCCCCGCATTGCCGTACCCCGCTCGCCGCCCCCCCCCCAGGCCTGGCCGTATTGGCGAGCTTAGTTCCGCCTAGCCTCGCCTCGCCCCCGCCCCGCGCACTAGAGAGTGAGCTCAGGGCATTCACCGATGTCGCTGCAGAGCCTCTAACCGAGTCCTAGTTGCAGTCCCGACCGCTGGCACGGTTTTCTTACGTTGTCAGGCTAGTTTCTGCAGCCCGCACACCGAGAGAATTCTGGCGGCGGCTGCGTAATTTGCAGTTTTGCGTGCTTTCTCCCAAGGATGCCGGAGTATTACCCCAATAAACAGGCCATGGACCGCGTGCAATCTTCCTTCCCTTTTCCCCCCTTGGGGTCTTTAGCCTCACCCCTTACCACAGACACTTACACGTTAATAATGCACCTACACACACAACATGCCAGACAAGTCTGTCGAGCTAGACTTGTCCCGCGGGGTAGCTCCTGGTAGGAGACGTGCCTGAGGGAAACCCCGCTAGCTGACGTACGTAGGCACCAAGATCTTAACACAGAATAGGAAAGATCCAACATCACAGGAGAAACATGCATTACTATACGCGAACTAATGACCTTGCACTTGGACGCGCCAAGAAATTAATCAAACCACCTCCGCCACTCCCACGCTGCCACCACCCACTCTCTTCTCCTCCCGCGCCCCGCTCCACCCGGCCTTCCCCACTCCCCGGGCCCTCCCCGCCCCGCTCAGCCCCACGCTGTGCCGCACCGCTCGCACCCCATGGAATGGTGCCTCCGTTCACCATGAGCGACAGCCGGAGCGCCCCAGCATCAACACATTTCTATTGTTAATAAGAATGCTAAAACGGGAATGTGAATATCATTATTGATAAAGATTATACATTTAGGTCGAACAGAACTTGACATTACTTATTTTCTATATCCCTGTTTGTTTAACATTTTAATGTAAAGAAATTATTGAGTGAACTGAACATTTTTGCTCGTCGCTTCGTCGCCCTGCATCGCTCCGTCCCGCCCCATCACATCACGTCCGACCCGAGGTGACCCGACCCTTTTCGCGAAACACCGCCCCCCCCCCCGGGCCAACAGCGCCTCCTGGACCACAGCGGCCGCACGCCGCCGATTCAAGAGCGCCCGCTCTCCCCGTGAATGGCCGGCTGGGAGAGGGGGGACTATGGACCTGCGAGTTAAACTGAAGCAGAGTAATTGCACCTCGTCCAAATTATCAGATCACGCGCGAAGATACCGCCGAGAGAATCATATTGAGAGGATACTATAGAAAAACGAGGTTGATGCGATGCTTCTTTTAGTGGGAATGGAAATCTAGATAGTCTTTACCGTCTCTTGCCTCACTCTGCAAAAATAATTTTAAATTAAGCCAAGATTCATTTTCCAGTGTAATTAATATATGAAGGACTTGTCTCTAGAGAGTCCTATGTCACATCGAATTCTTTCTGAAAAATAAGTATATTAACCTTTCAGTCCGACGTTCCTCGTCAGGAGTAAAGAAGAAATATCTCTATAGTACAGCGTCATTTGTTACACCGGTACCAATACTCGCACAAAATGTAGTAATCGATATGAAGAATATATTAGAGGTAACATATTTGCGTCAGAAATGTGACACAAGAGTACCTAGAGACGAGTCCATCCTATTATTTTTAAACGAAACTAATGGGGCTCAACAGCACATACTCTCTCATATTATTTGTAACTTTTGTAATTTTCAAAAATTAGGGGAACTCAACGAAAACGAGACCAGTGACATTTTATATGTACTTTCTTCTTTCTGAGGGAAAAATTATAGAAAAAATGGAAAAATTTTTGAAATTTTAAAAAATAAATTGCATTAGATTCAAGGGAAAACCAGGCAAAAACTACTGTTTTTTTCAAAAAAATTGTACTTGACGTTATTTAAAGATCAATTTTTGAGAACGGATTTATTTACGAACAAAACTAATTATCACCAGTATTGTTGTTTTACAAGCAAACTTAACTTACGCAACAGGTGAATAACAAATATTTAATGGCGGGGGGCCTTTTCCTTGGAGACTTGGTTTCGCATAACTTAGCTGTACCCCGAGTAATGCACTGAATATAATCAGTGCGTCACTGCTTACGTACTATAGCTTCAGTCATTTAAGCTAATGTCCCTTTATTCAATCGGGGGGAGAAGT